GCTGAGCCACCATTGTTCTGCTGCATGTGCAACCTTAGCTTTAAGTGACTTTTAAGGGAAAGTAATAGAATAAAATTAACAGCTCACAGACTAAAAGAGAGTAAATAATGTCAGAGCCCTCAGAATAAAGTTTTGACTGCTACATTACTGCATAACAAATGAACTATTATGAGTTAAACCTGGACTGGTTATGTGTGGAAAATAAAGACTTCCACCATCACAGAGTGGCTCCCCAATTTAAAGCATTCTTGTGGAGAAGTTGTTTGGAGAAATGGAGGGATTGATGTTGGTATGAGAAACAACTCTGCACAGGAAAAGAACAGACATTGCACCATGAATCCTGAATCCTATTGGAATGAATTTCCAATTAATTTTGTTACAAGCAATGTGTCCCCAAAGGTATAAGGTACAGTCAAACATGGCTCACCACAGAATACTTTTAAATTCCTCCATGGGAGGTTGGTTTGTTAAATCTCTAAGCTACTTTCTTTCTGATATACTTCTCACTAAATACTCTACCATCCAAAATTTTTTTAATCAAGTCACATTTCATGTGAAAATTTTACTGATCACTCATTTTATTCTGAGTGAATGTTGTGTTTTCACTCAGAAAACATTTCAAATGTGACTTTGGCCTTTAGTAATGTTCCTGTTAGCTGTGTTAAAGACTGTCTTGTGTTCACTGTTTGACACATATCATAAATTTATTCATAAATTGTTTCAAGCCTGAACACAAATGAAAAGGAAAAGTTGTTAAAAATATTATATTTGTCCCATAAAGTTCCAGAGATGAAATATGGGCTAGTCAGCATGTTGATAATTCAATAATCTATCATTTCACCTTTGAGCACTAATACTGAAAAATGCTGGTCATACAAGCCTCCCTTCCACACATCTGTAATTGTGCCCCCCTCCTGGATGTTCTTGATGTGAAAGATGTTGCTGCTAAGTGGGAGAGGTCAAACACGAGTCTAGATATTTATTACATGTGCTGAAACCAGATGGAGGCAACACATTCATCACAGCACAGTGTCACCGACGTAACACCCTCCTCACATAAAAAAGCTGCTCCCTCTTCCCAGCAGAAGCACTGGCCTTTACTGGTGTTTACAGCGACAGGGCTTGCATTGCTTTAAAAGCAGCCGGCTGGTTGCCGAAATAATCATCTCCACCTCTCTCTGCTTGGATTTCATCGACCGAGGTGACGTTGGAAACTTTTGGCTTTCTATCGATACTTTCTGCTCTGTAGCTGGGGGAGATATTAAAGCTGCACCAGGGCAAAGAAGGGCGTTTCTGACACTTGCTCCCTCATTTATCAGTCTCCTTCATAGGCCCCGTCAGTGACAATGAAAAGATTTCACAATACCGCAGGCAGAAACTCATTCCACCAGTAATCCATCATGCTCAGCCTAGCAGCCGTTCCACTGACCTAATCGGTAATGCCTGGCTGCATGCTGGAGACTTTTTAAAGCACTCTTTTCATTAGGTCTAGTTAGAATGAGGAGAGTGACTGGGCTAAGCTCTGTTGCTGGATGTGTCTTTCAATTCCTCCACATTAATTGGAAAATAAAAACATAAGTGTCATCCATGACCGTTCACCTATAAAGATAAGGCATCCATTTTTTGTTTGCATTCTTCATTCATGCAACCTTGAAAACGTCTGAAAAGAGTGTACTAAATAAGTGACAGATTCAAATTATTAATAATTAATTAATTAATTAATAGACAAGTAGCAGGTAATAACCTTTGCTCTCCAAAGACTCTATGCTCTTTTGCTCCCTTCTGGTAACCAGCTAATGTTTTCATTTAAATGAAATTAAATGATTCATTTAATTTAACTAAGGGGGATTTCTATTTTTTTTTCTTTTTTCCTCTTTAATCTTTTTATTTTTGATATATAAATTATTCATTTAAGTTGAAATTAAACAAATTATTTAATTTCAAATGATTCTTCATTCATGCAACCAAATTTGTCAATTTTGCAGACAGTCATAAAAGTGTTTGTAACAAAAGTGTTAGCAACCTTTCAAGCGTTGTGTCATTCTGTTTGTCTAAAAGCCACCTGTCGCAAATCAAAATGTGAAACTTCTTTAATTTGTTTTAATTGTTTTTATGTCTAGCCTTTAAGGGTTCCTTAACATTTGTTTATGTATTTCATTTGTCCACAACTTTGGCTAACACATAAGTTTGTGCATTTTTGAGAAAAACACATTCTGATCATTTTTTTAAGTGCTGATTTCACATTTTTGACCCCAAATATATATTTCAAATATGCTATCATGGCAATTTAATTTTTTTTTATTGAAATTACTTCATGGTGTCGAAATGCCTTCAGAAGTTCCTGTTTTATTATTTTCTATTGGATACTTCTTCATACTTTTGCATGTTTGGGATGAGAATTTATTTATTTTTTGACATTTTAATTACTTTGCACATAATATTGCTAGACATGTTTTACATGCCCAGGCTAAGGTAATACTTTAATTCAATTCAAATTGTTTAAGTGAGTTGAGGAAAAACAAAACTTTATATGTTTTAAAAGTGGCCGTATAGCAAAACCCCATTTGGATTGTTCTTGCCATAAACGTTTGTTTTGATACATACACCAATTTGTTCATTTTGGAGTAAAGTCTGTTTGTGTGACACATTTTTTGTGCTTACCCCCTATCCTGAAGGTGTGCAGTCTTTCTTTATTTTATGGTGCTTTCAAAGCCACCTCTGTGAGCCAGCAGAAGCAGTGACATACTCGAAGTTAAGATAAAGTTTTAAGCCAGAGACATTTCAAAAGAGAGCCACATATCTGTGCGGATGCAAGGGTTTCGGTGAGAAACTGAAACAGTAAATTTTATCCAATTTTAATATGAATTGTTGCAAAACTCTGGCGGTTCGTAAAATTTTATTTTTTCTCCTCAAATTTCCTGTTCTTTTGTAATTCTGTTTTCATGACTGTAGTTAAGAATTCATGGAATAGTAACCCATTCTTCAGATAAAATTCATTTCACTGATAATTTATGAGATTGATTTAATTATCATACCCTGCGAGACCAGTTGCGTTATCGACCCTAAAGTCAATTAAAGTAGCTACCTTAAAAGTTGCTGCTCACAAAAGGCACATAAATCGACATCAATTGAAAAGAAAAAAAAAAAGCAACAAATATTTCATGACCCTCCAAGCCTTAAGATAATTTGTGTTTTATTTCAACGTTATATTCTTTATGAGCGTGGATACATTTCTCCAAATCAACCATGGCTTTGAGGGCTTCTTCTAAAGTCCCCATCTCCCTTAATACCCCCACCCCTAATGAAGAGAGGTAGGTTCAGCCAGGGCACAGGGTTTGGTTCCAACTGTGTGGCCCTGCCAGCCCCAAGTTCAAGCTGCACTCTGGTGAGCATTAGTTAACACACAGGAGGAAAGCAAAGAGGATGAGGGAAAAGGAGAGGGGGGTTCAGGAGCGCTCTTTGACCCACTGCTGGCTTTTATAGAGAGATTATTCCCTAAACCCCCACAGCTGAGCTTTCTGGCACATTTCTCTTATCTACATCACTCCTTTTTCACTGCTTCCATCTATCACAGCTGTCTGCTGTGACCTGTCTCTTTAGTAAGCCTCTCCATGATGGGTGTCAGTACATTTTGCCAACATTTGGGTCAAATTAAGCTTGAACAAAGGTCTTCACTGTCCTACATTAGGGGAAAATGTAAAACACACAATACTTATCCTCTCATTCTCCTGCCAAACACCATTGGAAAGGGAAATCAGGAAGCACTTTGGGCAATGGTGCAACTTCAGATACATATTCAACCTTGGCTTGTTCGGTTCGCATTTGTTTGGGGGAATAGTTTTAAAGATACTGAAATTTGCCTTAAGACAGACCATTAAAAGACCTCGAATGGATAAAATCTGGGATTGTGAAGATTTGCAAAGTCAATTGTAAAATATTGAATATATTTTCCGCAACTGCTTCTCTTTGGAGGTCAGAGTTTGGACTAGACATACTGGCTGGTGTGAGTTTGTCATGGTATAATAAACACTTACAAAACATCCAACTGTTCTAATCAAATTATTTGAAAATTGTGGGTTACACTGGGTGATTTAAACTAAACATATTAGACAATATTTTAGTTTGACAATGTCATAAAATACTGTGAATTGGGTAACAAATCTGTTGAAAACTAGATTTGGGGATGGATCAGTAATCCAAACTTTCAATAAAAACATGGCGAAAGCAGCATTATTCTGTGGGGATGTTTATTAGGTTTTTGGGAGGATTATCAAAAGGTACACCTTAATAGAGTCGAGAAAATTTAATCAAAACAGCTGCTCAAAATTTTATTAGAATTATTGGAATCTCAAAAAAACCTGACAGCCCCCCTAAGCAAATAGTCTTATTTATTCAGTTACTTAATGTGATGTTTTTAAAAACATGCAGTATTATGTGCAGACTGATGTGAAAAATAGAGAGAAAGTTTTAATGTTTCATAAAAATTCAAAAGGACAACAGAGCAAGATCAGTGTACTCAAATAAAATCAGATGGAGTACAAAACTCTACTTTGTTTAAATCTTTCTGTTTACTGCTGAAGCACTTTATCTGAATGCAGCACAGACAATTTCCTCTAAAGTCACACCTTATGCCTCCGTGTTTCCAAAACATAATTTTAAAACACCTATCAGATGCAAAGTTAGCAAACTTTGAGTCATCTTCTGGCATTGACAATTTTGACAAAGGAAAGTGTTCACAGTATTTACACTAAAACTATAAACATAATGCATAGCAGCCTTAAATTGTTTTTATTTAAAAAAAAAAAAAAACAGAAAAGCAAGACATAGTTCTGTTGGTTCACTGAGACACTATTTAGGAAAAACTTGAAGAAAATCTCCAGTTTTTGGAAACTTTGGTTCTGTGAATGGCTCTCTTCATTGTTGCTACTGGCAAAGCTGCCGTTAGTGGGAGGATGCCACTTGATGGAGGTGTTGAGGTGGTATCTAAAACACTCATTGGACAGAGGGTATCTTGCCTGACCTCTGCATATTCACCTCGATATATGGGAAGCGCAGACCTTGATTCTATTGAACTTTCTCTGAGTGTCTCTGTCAAAGTACATTTTGAAACAAAAAGGGAAAACACGTTTTAAACAGTGCAAAACAAATATTTCTAACCCTTAGAGGCTAGTAAGGCACACATCCTATTATTCTGCTAACTATCAGCAATTATCTCCCTGTCAAAGCTCTAGGTGACAAATTCTCCCCATATCCCGCCTGGCAGTATCATCAACCGGACATGAGCTTCATGTGATGGAAACTAAATCACTGGCTCCACTCACAGTCCTGACAGACAAATGGCGTGGCTTGGAAAACCTAGGCCCATCACTCTGAGCTGGAGAGGGGAAAAAAGTCTCTCCCTCCCATTTGACCTTCTTTTATTCGCAGAGAGAGGAGATTAAATACCACAGATTCTGTATGTATGGTCTGTTTCCAAAATATGAGAATTATTAATGGCTTTTTCTAAGGGACTGTTTAATCTTTTGCCAGGTTGCAGTCATCGTTTTTACCTTGGGCTGTTTGCTTTCCTTACAGATGGTTCCAGAAAAACAGGAACTGTTTCCTATCCTTACAGCAAAGGCAAAGGAAGTGTGTGGGCAGTGTTAGGGCAGCAGAGTGATCATCCCTCTTGAGGCAGTGTAACATAATGATGTTAATAGTATTCAAAATTTATCCCTCTGTGTGAATGGATGTGAACAATACACAGACCTGGCAGGGACACCAAACAAGCTTTAACAAATGAACAGTAGTGGACGGTTAATTGTTTCACACCTAAACTCTGGTCTCTTCTCTTTACAGCATGACAGATTTGACCAGCAAAGGATTAATATTGCTTGTTGTTATCAGCAGCATGCTAGTTTAGACCACAGATGTGAGAAAGCACACCTTCCCTGAAGTGCGCATACTTACAGACAGATGCCACTTTTCACAATGAGGCCACAAATCAAATCCCAAAGCCAGAATGACGACTTGATCACAAGAGCATGACACAGTTAGTAAATTATTCTCTTGTCTTTTTGACCCCATGCTCCATTGAACTTTGTCTAAAAAGCCCGACTGGTGGTTTTAGTGCGTTTGCAATTCCATTGCATAATTTGCATTACACAAAAAGGAACTCAGTTGGTTGCGTCAGCAGCTCTTAGTAATGTTTTACACTATCAAGATGTATTGAGGTTTCAAAAATTTTAATGTGATTTAAGAGAAAGTACAGAAGAAACTAAAGTGATGTCAGCTATTATTCTTGGTAAGACTGCAAAATTCACCCAAAATATACTCCCAATTCATATCAGTTTGTTTTCGTATGATAATATATATTACTATATGAGAGATTTTGCACCACAAAACAAACAAAATTTGGAATATTTTATTCTGGTTAATTAAATAAAATAAGAAACTAAAGTTATAGTAAGCCTTCATGTAACCTTGACAACCAATAGATTATACATTAATGTTGTAGCTGTAAGAATAAATTGTCTTTTTTTTTGTCAGAAACAAAATCATGCCTTGTCTTTAAACTAAAATGAAATAATTTCTACTTAAATTATTATTTGTTAATGATTAATTCCTATATATGGCATTGCCATTTTATGTAAAAGAAGAACAATCTTGTGCAAGATTACTATCAAATGATAATATATTGTTAATCATCAAAAATGGTGGGTAGCATAACAACAGCAAAATATTCTATGAAAGTAAGTGTAGGATGTTGGTGCAGCATGTTTTTTGATGAAAAGTGTTATTCACCGGTGATTTTAATTGGGTTTCTTATGTAATCAAAACACCACACATACAAACTTGTGTTTTTTCGACATTAGTAGACTATCAACCAAGTTTTTTGCATATTTGTCATGAAAATGCAGCTTTCATCTGGTGCATTTTTGATTGAAATGTGCTTGTCATTCAGTGAAGTAGCTCGAGTTAGGTAGGGTGCTATCAAAATGTGTACTCAAGTAAGAGTTCAAAAATAATATTATTCATGGGAAATGTTGTTTCCAACTTAAAACTAGAAGGTTGTTAATTTTTATTCTTTTGGCCTTCTCCAAAGTACTCTGGTCCACCAGCTGCTTAAAGAGTTGCTTCCTTCTTTCCCTTGCCTGGAACGTTGCAGCACAGTTTGGGCTCCCTATTATTTACTTAAATTCCTTTGGTAGGCTGTCTACCAGGACAATCAGTGAATAGATAGAAGTTGTGAATAATGACGTTTTTCTGCACCGTCAACTGCAGGGGATAAAGTGAACAAAGCTGTTCGGTCTATGTTGACCACTCTTCCAAATATTGACTTAACATGAACAGTCGCCTTGTTCAGCTTGTCACTTCTGTCCTTGCAGTGGAGAATTTTTAATTTCTTTTTATAAAGCAGGTTATTTCCGGCAAACTTCATAGGGACGAACTGGCACACTACATTTGTTGGGTTGGGTCAGATTTAAAACGTCAATAGAGCCCAAGTCTCAAGGAAGTGATCGTTTTTCGATAGCTAAGAGTCCAGACCCTCGGTATGAAGCTAATAGTTTTTACCAAGAATTAAGGAACTGCCAGTGGTTTTCTTGTTTTTTGGCAAAAATAAATCACTGTTCTACAACAAATCACTATATTTATATTCTTTTTTGGGTCTATTTAGATTTGTAATGTGTATGTCCACAACAATTATGTTTTATTAGAGGAGCTTAGAATAAAAAACAATCCAGACAAATGAAATGAGATATAAAAGTTCCTTTCTAGTTCTAAACCCATTTACAGTGATGGATACTCACTTAGTTTGACTCCCATTATATTATACAGCGCTAATACAGTGCCCAGTGAAATTACATGCAGATGACCAATTATGCAAATTAGGTGATTACATCTTTAGCAACTTTTAGTGGCATTTAAAACACTCAGTAACCCTTTCGCATACCAAGCAGTTGGCTCAATTTAACCAACAAAACTTGAAAACACATTTAATCATCGTTTAGACTTAGATCACTTACAAGGTAAAAAAAAAAGTACTTGTTGACATTTTATAGAACACTAAAGTTTTAAGCTGTGTAATTGCTTAATTAATTTAGAACTCTTAGCTGTGGAATAGAATGACCAAATGTCCTCTTTTTCCAAGACATGTCCACGTTTCCTGTTTTGACCAGGACATCTTGGGAACATTCATTCATTGATGAAAATGTCAGGGTTTTCATTGATTTTTAAGGACACTGATAGGCATCCTTAAACTGACTGGTGCAATGCATGGAATACAACATCCTCTCTTTCGTGTGAAGGAGCCGCTGCCTATTGGGTTGTTCACCTCCGTTCATAGACAACAGGCTGCTCTGCAGAGCTCCTGCTGATGTTTACAAGATGCCAAAGTGCAAGGGTAGCTTTGCAGAGTAACTGGAAAATAAATTTACTTCATACCCTCCCTGTTACAACAAACAAGAGGCTGAGTGTATGGAGCACATGGCTGCCATATGTGTTTCTGTTCATGACAAACGTGCCAAAGATCCCTCACGTCATACGGACACAAAAGTTCAAAGTTAGTAATATATTGTAGTTACTTGATTAAACATTTTAGCTACCGTCTATTTGGGAACTCCTCAATTCCTTCACTGTTTCATGTCTTTGGAGGTATAATATTATGTCTTTGAAAGAGCCAATTCAATAGGAACAGTTCACAATTTTGCACAAACTTGTAGTCTACTCTAAGGACAAGTCTATGTATCTGATATATACAGCAACATCCTATTTAAAAGCAGGGATTGCTAAGGGATATTTTGGTTGCTCAGTGATCAAAGTCCCTACATTTAATGTATAAACTGGACCAAACAGGAAAATGGCTGTTATAAAAAGGTCAACATTAATGTAGGAAGGGTTAAAACACCAACGCATGGGAGTGATACAAGGGCAAAAACTGTCAAGAAGATGGGTAGTACTACAACAAAGTCTCCCAAAAATTCAAAGTTGGAACAAGTTATTGCCCATCCTCTTTTTGTCGATTAGACTTTCTGCACTCGGCCGCAACTAATTGACCTAAAAATGTTGGAAAAAGCAGCTCAGAGCCATCATGACCCTGACTTTGACAGGTACCTCACAAATCTGATTAATCCCTTCAGCTGAAGCTTACATCAAAACTGACTTGCCATGATAAATGACATTACTAACACCTCAGCCTTCTTCAGATTTCCTTGGAAGAAGGATTGAGTTATTGATATATTAAATCAATCCACTCGCTCCCCTGTGAAGGATCAAAACCACCCAAAACTGTATTACATAATGGTCTCTTTGCCCTTGGCATTCAGTGGACTCTTGCAAGGAATCCATATTGAGGGACATTCATGTCTCAGTGGGATCCAAACTTAATTAGCAACTTCTACTGTGCTTTAAAGGCTGTTCCCCCTATCTTCACCAATATATCACCTGGCCAAGTCAATTGAAGACAACTTCAGCAGCCTTTTCTTCCTGACCTTGGCATTTCTTCTCAGCCGTGGATTATTGATAATTTTCCGGCTGTGGTGCCTCTCCTCATTTGTCATGATTATTGCTGAATTTTTACTCTGTCATCCGCAAGCGTGGATCAATGCTTGTCGACTTTTCTTTTGTCATATTGGCAGCACAAATGTCCCTTCCTCTCCAAATGAGGCTCCTTTTACCTCCCTATCTATTAGCTGTCTGTCTACACCGCACTTGATCCTTTGTTGGGTCAGTCTATATGTCATTGTCCAAAGAAAAAATAAAAACTGACACTTTTGCATTGCAGGAATCAAGCAGATAAATGGATAACACATTGTCCATGGGTTTTTAGTGGAGCTCTAAACTGACTGGCCACTTTATTAGGTACATTTTCTGGATTTATCGACACATAGCAAATCAGTATATCACAGGCAGCAACTCAACTCATTTGTAAATATAGAATTTACTGAAGTTCAACCTGAGCATCAGTATGCTGAAAAAATAGACTCTGTCTGTCTTTGAATCTGGTGAGAACATTGTTTCCCAAACAGGTTACTCTGAGAATAGTTTAAATAAGAGGAAATATTCAGTGTGTGGCAGTTGTGTGAATAAGATTGTCCCATTGACGTCAAGAGGAAAAAGGAGATTGGGCAAACTGATTTGGAATAATATAACGTAGCAGTAGCTCCAATAATCACTTGCTACAATTAATGTATGCAGAATACCATCTTTGTGTGCACAACATGCCACATGGTGAATGTGGCACAGTGTGTAGAGTAGTCGCTTTAAGGTCAAGCAGTCATGAGAACAATGGCCACACATTACATTTTGTGACTTAACTCCCACTTCCATACTGGCTTGTGTACTTGTGTATGACTCTGTGCTTGTTAATGGGTAAATGTTTTGCAGTATTAAGATGCATTTGAAATAATGTGTTAATGTAACAGTAAGGATTTATTCACAATTATTAGTTGAAATTTTAAAACCAAGGCTTTTTCAGCAATAGCTGCATTAGGAAAACTTTATTATTATTATTATTATTATTATTATTATTATTATTATTATTACCTTAGTTAATTGCAAAAAGTTTTTTGCAATTAACTAAAAAAGCCTACCTTTCTTTTGCTAATGATGAAATCCATCAACAGTGAGAGCATCTTCTGATGGCCACTTCCAGCTCAAATCATCTCTGCTGAGGTCACAAGCACAACAGTGAGTTCACTGCACTCCAGTCACCAGATCTCAATCCAATAGAGCCCCTGTGGGAAAGGGTGAAAAATTAGACTCTTGTCATGAATGCACTGCTGCTGTAATGTCAATATGGACCAAAATTTCAGGGGAATTTTTTTGACACCTATGCCATCAAAAGTAAATTCAATTCAGCTCACACATCTTAAAAATAACTGGCTTGTGTTATTTACAACAGGGCCACGTTTCCCACTGAACTGCTCTTCTAATAAAATGCACTGGACAATCCAATCACTCAAGAGTCAACTATTCCATGTAATAAGGCCACATCTGTCAAACTGATTAATGAATTGTCACAGCAAAAGGAACCAGTTGGAGCCAGTAGCCGCCTCAAGCAGCTCACAATCCATCTCAGTTGGCTAGATGGTTAGTTCCTGTAGCCAGGCCAGTGGCATGGCTGGCTTCGTCCAGCTCTACCATGTCTACACCTATTCCTCCTTGTTCCCTCCTCCTCCCTTGACTGGCTGAACAGGTCTGACAGGCGGATTCCTTTTCTTTTCAATGTATTAAAGGCACTTTCCTGCTCTGACAGCTTGCTCTGTTCTGCCACCTTCTAGCTGGGGCTTCACACTACTCTGGGCAGCCACTACGTCTTGACAGACCACTGTCACTTCCCATCATCCTCTCTGTAGATCCTGTTCTCCCCCTTCTAAGCACGCAGACCCAGTTCCCAACCAGTGCAATTATTTTTTTTGACAAGCCATCCATCAGCTTTAACTTTAAAGCACTTTCCACTGATTCCCATTGTTACAGTTCTGTGGCTTTTTATGCAGGCGGCAGGAGAGAATATGATAGCAGACATTCAGACTACCCAACCATGTAAATCTACTTTGTTCCTTTTTTATTTCCAATTTTCTGTTCCATTTTTTTGCCAAATTATGCATATTTGTTGTGCATAATACGCCCTTGTCAAATCACATTAACATGTCCTTTTTTGCCGTCAGAAAAGATTATGATTGCGCTTTACACAAGAAACAGGGCATAAAGTCAAACCTAACTGCATAGCTTTACTCTTACTATGAGTCATGGCAGAGTGGTTACACTGGGATACATTTCTTGAAGACAAGTCACTGCAATTACACGACCTGCTGAAAGAGTGCCCTGACTCATGATGCATCGGATTGCACAATTAGAATGACAATCTCTAAAAATGTTGGCCGGATACAAAATATGATTTATGCCCCAAGGAGATCTAATTATGATCTCCGACACCGAGTTAATGATAGAAGGTGGGAGTAGCATCTGGGGATCTGGAGGGGACAATCTCTCAGCATGCGACATTTGCTGCCTCCTAACAACTGGGGTCATCAATGGGCTTCAGAAGTCCCTCCCACTGATTGGGAGCTTATGAGTGGAAGTTGTGTTGTATGAGGCCAAAATAGATTACATTTTCTGTAATGACTGGGTTTTCTGCCGTATTCTCTAATATTCTAACGTTCTGTAAAATTTTACGGAAATATCAATCTCATAATTTCTAGCTCAAATGGCCTTGCTCTAGCCAATCAGAAACTTAAAAATCTAGTTTTTTTTCTATCAGTATCAAAGTGCAACTTTGGACACTCTTCGGTGTGGAAGTTATTACAGGAGGAAGGAACCCAAACTCAGCCCGTCAATAAGATGTTTGACTTTTAAGCAAACACATGTATGAAGCTAATGTGTTGAATTGGTTTCTCACCAGTTCAACGTGTGAGAAACAAAGAGAGGGTCAAAACAGCTTCATCCTCTACTGCAGTACTGCAATGCGTCATGGACCGAGCTGGATTTAATCTGGATTATGTTGACAGTCTTTTCAAGTCAGGGTTTAGCAAAGAGACACATCTACAAACTTCAGGGAATACACTTGATTAGCTAGCAAGGCTAATTGCTAATAAAAGACAATGGATTCCTTTTGTAAGACGTTTCCTACTTCTTCGTTGGAATAAAAAAGGCCTAATTTAATCTTAATTTTGTCAAAGAAATTGGAGGCTGCCAAGAAAGAGTTCAGTGTCTGAAATACCTACTGTGTGCATAAAAGATTGTGAAAACAAGATAAATAAACTATTCATTAGTCACTTTTAAAGTTAACACAGTACTAAAAAAACTATAAAAATGTTGCACAGTGTTTGAATACATGAATAATAAAATTCTGACTCATAACCTTAATCATAATTAACAAATAGGAAATAGCAAATCCCACTTGTTTTCCAGTTTGCAACTAGAATACAAGTTGGGGTTGCAGTGCTTTTCTTAGATATAAATTCTGATTTGGATCTAGAAACCAAATCCCACCTTAAAAAAAGCTCAACATTTGTAATTATTTTAATCCTCATACAAAAAATAGATCAGAAATGGGCTGCAAAGCTCTAATTGGTGCAACTCTAGTACTCAAGATGATTTTTGTTCAATTTAATTTAATTTAATTTAAACATTGTTAGAATGTGTTCTGGAAGATCTGACAACAAAAATGGACATTTTTACTCATAAGTGAATCTTTACAAGTAGTTGAATACATTTCATTTAAAAAATCACAAAGTATTTGTGCTTTTGATTAATAAGAATAATTGGACAAGGCACTTAGTTGGTGCATTATACTAAGTAGTGAATCTGAAGTGCTGAGCAGCTAAAGAGCATATTTCCCAGGCAAACAAAGAATAAAAAAACATTTTCCTGAAACGGTTCAACAGTGACAAAGTGTGAACATATGGCACAGAATGACCCAGATGGTCTTATCACCCCTGAAGACCGTTAACTTATCTCTTCTTCCACAAGATTTCCAAAGCAGGTGTTGATGAGACATAATGAGAAACTCCACATTCAGCCTGAAGTCTATGATTTGCTGTTTATTGGCTATTATGGGCATTAATCTGACCCCACAGACGGGGGAACATTCGGTCTGCGTCCCTGCATAATCAGTCGAGGAGTTAATAACACACAGGTTGTCACAGCTGTTGAAGACAGAGAGACAAGCTGCCCTGGGTGACAATATGTCAATGGTTGTCTAGCAGATGAAACTGTGGATATTAATAAATCAAAGTGACCCCTACCTGAAGCCAAACAGATGCGACACCTGGACATGTAAATTCCTGCATAATGGGTGCCATAAATTTAAATCCGAAAAGCTCTGGTTTAATAACTGTGCAAGACAGCTGCAAGCGAGACAAACAGGTTGTGCTTAATGTGAAAGACAGATTTGGAGTAACAAACATCATCTGCTCCCATCACTTAATTCTAAACTGGGTAAAGAAGAATGTAGAACCACCATTTCTCTACTTTCTCCTGATGAAAACCATACATCAAGGAAGAAGGTGCAATAAAGTGTGTTTAGGTACGTAAGGTGAGAAGTGTGTTTGTCAGAAACAGTAGCTGGCTGGCAGTAAGGGGGGGTAACCTCCCGGCTGCTGTCAGTGTATTAATCACCACTGATGTGTGTTGTAAAAGGATTGCTGCAGGAAATAAAGACACCATGGTGTCAGCTGCATTGCCCTGATGTGACTCCATCAGACAAGAGGATGCTTATTGACAGGGTGAGAAAGGGGAATGGACAGAGAGAGAGAGAGGGGGGGAGAAAGAGGGAGCAATCAGTCCTCGAGTCAGTCACCTTGGCACTGACGCAATGTCACAAGAGCCCAGACCATTATTCCTCCTAGCCCACAGGAACATTATTTAAACTCAAACCTCAACCAGTGACTAGCCTGAATGTCACCAGAAGGACAAACATCAACACATACACAGCTGGGCCCAAAATTACTCATATCTTTGGCATATAAGAACAAGAAATATGGTCATTTAAGACATCTCTCAAAAGATATAAGAAACTAAAGGTCTCATTAAATATCATATGTTTTTGCTGACATTTTATTTTTGAAAAACTGCATGTAACTGATTATTTTATAATCCTCAATAAACAGTGAAAAAATCTTAACTGACATAGCAATGAAAGCCTTGTTATAACTGCATAGTTCAGGTATTCTAGTGGTTTATCATTGGTAATGAGTTCCAAGTCTTCAAGACTGGGTGACCTCCTTGCCAACACCTTAATCTTTAACTCAATCCACAGACTCTTTATCAGATTCAAGTCAGATTTCTCCTACATGAGGTTAACATTACTTCCAGTCAGAAGAAACATCCGGGTACCTAGAGGGGCTGATGACTATCTCCAAGAGTCATTGGGTGAGAACGATTCACCCTAGACAGGTCACCAGTGTGTCTCAAGGCAACACAGACACAGCTTTACACACACAAACTGTCTCATTCACTCCCAAGGGGGAATGAGACCTAACAGGGACATGGAGTACACTGAGACGTTTTCCCATGCTTGCTGAGAAAGAACATGCAAACTCAATGCAGAAACAGTCGAGGCTGGGATTTAAACCCAATACCCTCTTTCTACAACTAGGAATGCAGTGATATGAAAATGTGAGCCAATCTTCTGAAAATCTGAAAAAAATATTGAATAATATCGTTATGACTGATAACCAATATTTACAGATTTTGTATATTTTTTACATATTGGGAAAAAAACAACCACCCTGCTCCAAAACCATAATGGAAATAGATAGCGGTTGTTAAAATTGACCCAGTTTTATTTATCAATGTTAAAAAATTACCAGCATAGGCTAGTACCAACATTTGTATCATGCATCCCTAGCTATTATGCAACAGTATTAACAGCTACACCAAGCATCCCTCTGAATGAACATTTTGGCAAAAATTAAAGATTAAATAGACCTAACCCTCCAAGAGGAATTTATATATTTTTTGAGTTAATTGTCTGGTGAAATCAGGAGAAATGTGGTTTTGGAGCAGTAGCTGATTAACTTTATGCACATAAACTACACTCACAGTTGCCTTGGTACCGTACTTGTTGTGCCTGCTCAACTTATCACTTGTTGGCTTTTTGTTGTACAAAAGTGCCTAATTAATATCCACCTTGAAAAACACTGGTAAAAACCCATTGGAATGTATTTATTTTTAATACTTTCGGTATTTAAAGGTGTTATAGCTCTAAAAGATTTTAACACACTGAAATGCT